GTGACCCCAGGCCCATGTAGGTGACCCCAATAACCATGTAAGTGACCCCAGGCCCATGTGGGTGCCCCCAGTGACCACATGGGTGACCTCAATGACCATGTGGGCAACCACAGTGACCATGTGGGTGACCCAATGACCACACAGGTGACCCCAATGACCATGTAGGTGCCCCCAGGCCCACTTGGGTGCCCCCAATGACCACGTAGGTGCCCCCAGACCCTCTTGGGTGCCCCCAATGACCACGTAGGTGCCCCCAGGCCTACTTGGGTGCCCCCCAGGCCCGCAGAGGTGCCCCCCCGCCCCACCCCGTGCCGGGCGGGCGCTCCCTCACCCACCTCCTTGTAGAGGGAGTAGAGGAAGACGATGGTCTGGATGGTCTTGCCCAGCCCCATCTCGTCGGCCAGGATGGTGTCGGTGCTCTGGGCCCAGGAGAAGCGCAGCCAGTTGAGCCCCTCGAGCTGGTAGAGGTGGAGGGTCCCGCCCGTGGCCGTGATGAACCGCGGCTGCGTCTCGTACTTCACCGTCGGCTGGGGGGCATGGCAGGGTCAGGGGGGGCACAGGGCACCCCAAAACCCCCCCATGGACACACAGAGAGGGGTGAGGGTGTGCAGGTGTCGGGGGACTCGGGGGTCCGGGAGGGAACGGGGTTTGGGGTGACTGAGGTGTTTGGGGAACATCCAGATTGGAAGAGACCCCAAGGGCACCCCAAAACCCCCCCACGGACACACAGAGGGGGGTGAGGGCGTGGAGGTGTCAGGGGATTCGGGGCTTCACGAGGGAACAGGGTTTGGGGGGACTCAGGTGTTTGGGGAACACCCAGATTAGAAGAGACCCCAAGTTTGGGGGCGTCACAGGGGGTCAGGGCACCCCAAAAGCCCCCCAAAGGCACATAGAGAGGGGTGAGAGTGTGGAGGTGTTGGAGGACTCAGGGGTCCAGGAGGGAACCAGGATTGGAGGGGGGCACAGGGGGTCAGGGCATCCCAAAACCCCCCCACGGACACAGAGAGGGGGTGAGGGTGTGGAGGTGTCGGGGGACTCGGGGTTCCAGGAGGGAATGGGGTTTGGGGGGGGGGCACAGGGGGTCAGGGTACCCCAAAACCCCCCATGGACACATGGAGGGGTAGTTAAGGACATGGAGGAGTTGGGGGACCCAGGTGTCTGGGGGTCCCAAGGGTCCACGGGGTGACCCAGATTTCCAGGTGGGAACTAAGGGTCTGGAAAGGGTCCCAGGTTTAGGGGGGGACCCAGGGCTGCGTGACCCCAGGTTTGGGGGGGACCCCAGGTTTCGGGGGGTCCCAGGTTTAGAGGGGACCCAGGACTGGGGGAACCCCAGGTTTGGGGGGGTGTCCAGAGAACTCGAGAGTCCACGGGGGGGATCCAGGTGTCTCAGGGGGACACTCAGGTTTGGGGGGACCCTGAGGGGTCCCAGGGGGTCCCCCATGTCCCGGCACTCACGTCATTGGTGGGGGAGTCGGGGGGTCCCTCCCCCGGCGTCTCCTTCTTCTTCTTCTTGTAGCGCCGGGGCTGGGCCGGGTCCTCCCCCATGAACACCTCCCTGGGGACACGAGGGGACATGGGGGGGGACACAAGGGACATGGGGGGACAGGGGGGACATGGGGGGACACGGGGGACACACAGGGGACATGGGGGGACATGGGGGACACACAGGGGACAGGGGGGACAGGGGGGGGACATGGGGGGGACACAAGGGACACGGGAACAGCAGAGGGGGATGAGTGGGACACAGGGATATGGGGGGACACACAGGGGACATGGGGGACACGAGGAGACATGGGGGACACAGGGGACATGGGGGACACACAGGGGACATGGGGGGACACGGGAACACCGGAGGGGGATGAGTGGGACACAGGGATATGGGGAGACACAGGCAGAGATGGGGTCACGGGGATGCCGGGATGGGGATGGGGACGCAAGGGGGGGCACAGGGACATGGAGGGGGGACAAGGGACACACAGACATGAGGACACGGGGGGGACATGGGGACATGTGGCAGCGTGAGAATATTGGGGATACAGTGCCCCCCATGTCCCTGTGTCCCCCCATGTCCCTGTGCCCCTGTGCCCCCCGTGCCCCCCATCCCTCACCAGTGTTTCCAGTAGCCATGTCCCTGTGTCCCCGTGTCCCCCCATGTCCCTGTGTCCCCCATGTCCC